AGACATAATATGAATTTATTCTAATTTATTATACCTCTGTCCGTTCTACTACACAATGTTAAGCAACCTTTGGCGTTCATATCCAAGTGCCTTGCTGCTCTTCTGTTTCTCTTTTTTTCTCTTCAGAATCTTGCTCTGAGAGCACAACTATGAAACTTCTGACGTTTGGAGCAAACTTGACTTACGCGCCCTCTCGAAGTCATAGTTTACAGCAAGCGCTCTACGATCTCACTTTATAACACCTATAAACTTACTAAGTTGGGAAGCATTTTGCGAACCAACAAATGTTGTAATTTATAGATCATCCCTGTAAAAACGGTGTGTACCTGCACATGCAGAAATATATTATAATTATTATTACTTCATGTGTTCAAATGGTTGTGGACTGAATAGAAGCTTTCGCTTAACAGACTTCCGTGTCTAGTGGCAGGGGATCACCAAAACCTCCAGGCAGGAACCTAGGTATGTTAACAATAAAAGAGGAAAAAGAAATTGGCAAATCATAGTATGATACTATCCTTAAGAATAGATCAAGTTGCCTCCTAAAGGACTCCTGGGAAGTCGCTTGGACTAGCTCGGCGGGCAGCGAATTCCAGCATTTGACAACTCCTAAGGAGCAGAAGTTGTGTCTACAGTCCATTCTGCTGTGTTTTGTCTCTAGTTTCTGAGTGTTACCTCTTAGGTTAAAGTTGGGACTAAGCTTAAGTAGGTGTTTAAGAGAATGTCCAGAAGTGTTAAAGATACTGTTAGCCATTAGAAGGTCACCTCTAAGATGTCTATACTCTAATGGGTAGAGGTTAAATGATTGAAGGCATTCTTCATAAGGTGATTTGATGCATATCTTCGTCATTTTCTTGGGAAACCTACAGACTCGGGTCCTCTCACAACTTATTCTAGCCAACATGAGTTGTTACGGCAGCTGATGGATGGACACGCGGTACATATCCTAACCATCCGTGCGTCTAATCTCATAGCTTCTTATTCAAATGTCATATGATAAGCAAGTGATGCCTCCACCGACACTAATGGAACGCGAGTAACTCAAATGCACCCTGTATGGTACCTTACATTGGTCTACGCACTCACTTAGCTCTTTAGTGAGAATATTACTACAGTCGTGCTAAAAATCCCATGAACCCCCCTACCTTCATCGAAACAAATAAGTCTGTATTTGCTGCATAGAGCAATTTTATTTTTCTGAAGTAAGATATGACAGACAGAATTCGAGTAAAATGGAAGTATACAGCAGATGCACGTGGTAAATGCCTTCATCAATTAACTGAAATAGAGAATACGGATTTTTGCTTAACAGGCTTATTTTGAAAGACTATTGTCTACTTTGAACTTACTGCGTGAGAACGTTATACTGGAACTACGAATAATGTGGAATCTAGTCTCCCAGGACGTACGAAGCACTCAAACTGGAAGACAGTTTTCCGAAAATAATTCGAATATGAAGGTGAGAACTTGCAGGTACTTTTCATCGTTAGGGTGAACATATTAGGTAACGGTTGACATCATACCGTAAAAAAACACAAATTTGCGAGTGGTGAGATATGATCTATAAAAAAGTGAGCTTAATAACAGTTAATTACTTTTTTACTCCCTGATCATGACCCTTCGGCTTCCTTTTATGGCCAAAACAGCAAACATGCACTACACACTAATAGCAGATTTCCGGCTTTTCAATGTTAAGCTTGCTTTAACGCACTGCGTAATGAGTACAACCTCTCCATTACTGCTATATGGAATATTTTTTATAACAAACCCTCTGCAATAGTTTGGTAGCATCTGTGACTTCGTCTATGGTTGTCGGAAGTCTGGGTCCTTTCGAAAACAATACTGATATCCCCTACTGCTAGGCACTAAGTATTAGTTTGACTCGTCGGTGGGATAGTGTTGTCCATAATACTGAAGAAAATTAAAAACCGGAGACTGTTTCCTTTCATTTTGCCGATAACATCATAAAGGACAGTTAGGAACGAACATGCGGACAGTTAGTCACAGGCAGCAGCAGCTAAAAAACGAACTTCGGCTTTGGATATCTAGAAAACAAGTCAAAACAAAACCGATTACCATTTTAAAACAAAAGACTAGCCAGGTTGGCTGAAGAAATACAATGACTTGTGTAGAAGCAGCAGAAACCCAAATAACAATGCTGATTCGAAGTAAATTTCACACCAACATATAGAACATTACACTAACTGCGGCATTTTAGCACACTGAAACATTAAATTACATAGCTACACAAAAGAAATAGCTAAAAAAAGGCACAGAACGAAGAAAGCCAATCGCCATTGCATACAAAGGTGGCGGATATAATAATTCCCACCTCATTCTGATTGGTTGCTGAGCTGAAGAGCACATTTACGAAATTGAGTTCCGTTTAATTGCAGCTCATTTGCCAGATTCACATGGATACTCTTATCTCTTAACCTGCGCAAACCGTTTCACTCGATAGCCAGATGCAGTACCTATCAAGGATATTTCTGCTGCGCCTGTACCCACAATCTAACAGGTTGGTAGGGCGCTTTCACTGACAACCAAAAGCTTCACCATCAGCTGCAAACATTTCTCAGTTGACTGACGCTCTTCCACTCGTTTTACTAGGTATTCGCAATGCAGGGACGGCTGACATTGGATACACTGCAGCTCAACTGGTTTATGAAACGACACCTCAACTTCCAGGAGAATTCGTGGATCCTTCATCTTCTTCAGTGAACATGGATCTAACCTCCTACACGAACAGACTTAACATGCGTTCAGTTAAACCTGTTTCCACTCGACCTCAATCAACTGATGTTTTCGTTCAAACTAACTTACGATATAGTACACACGTTTTCGTACATCGGAACTCGCATCGACGACCTTTCGAATCAGCATACGAAGGATCTTTCACAGTTCTTCAACGCGAACCTAAGTACTATATAATCTATAAGAACGGAACCAACGACAGCATCAGCATCGATCGCCTCAAAGCGGCATATTTAGAAGTAAATCCAATCCACGTCGATTCTCCTTCGTTGCAGTCGAACGACACGGCTCCGACACTTATAATACCTCATCCGACAGCCAACGCGGACGATGATACGTCAACAGTATCTGAAACTAAACTGAAAACAACGTGTTCTGGGAGAGGAGTAAGATTTCCAGAACATTTAAATGACTATTGCATGTAAGACACCAGTCAACATTTTGCTTCATCTCTATTTTCCATGGCATTTTTATATAATGTAAAAAAACAATTTTTATGTTTGTATTTATATATTTTTATTATTTTGCTAATACCTGTGTTGAAATTTTTTTAAAAAACAAACAAAAAAACCGTTTTGTAAAAAATCGCTTTTTTGCGCTATTTTCCATTTTAAACTCTAAAACGCGTACAAGTTTATTTTGACATGCACCTACGTATTGCTTTTCTTTTTTCTAGGACGGCTGCAAAAGACGATAAAAAGAACGATGAGGATTACGATGAACCGAAATTTTCATTGTACCTTGTTTCTGTATCACTATATTGCACTTCATGGTTCCTAAAAGTAAGGAATGACGACCAGACGCTGCTAAACCTAGCAAGCTATCAGAAGAGTGTTTACCGACGACAAAACTCGTTGGGTTTAAACTTCTGGCTGGTCACGTCTCAGGGTCATCGTACTTCCCCCACTAGGGGGAGTGATCTATGGCGGTAAATAAATCTTTAAAATAAATAGCTCTGTAAGTTTCCGGCATTAGATGCTGACCACATGTTTTAACGGACTCAACTAGCTGAAGGCGCTCGGTCATGCATCCGCACCAAATCACGAGTGGGAACACTGTGCTCAACAACCCCTGCAATCGCTAGCCAGATTAGATCGGGCGATCCTCGATATATTGATAGCCTGTCAAATATATCTTCGAACCTCCTTGCTTCTGTCTTTCGATTTCACTTGGTGGGTACGATTCATATTAAAAGGTGTTACCAGTTAAAGCGTTGTCAAACTCCAAATACCCGTGGTATCTTTACTTTTTTCAAATGGTCAACACAAGGTACGGAGATTAAGGTAGATATAATTTTTATACATCTGACTTGAGGTTCAATGAGGCCCCAGGCTAAAAGAAGAAAAATTTGGAATATTACACAGGAGTCGATCGTATTTTTCTTTGTTTTAACTTCAAGCTAATGGCATACTCTTTTTTAAAACGATAATAAGTTCTAAAGACTTACATGGATTGTGATTGAAAAGACATTACTACAATGAAATTCGGGTAAACAATGTCGGTGGACATATAGGCTATCAGCAAAATCAATTCTTCTAGGCGTGTAGCGGCAAAAACCAGTCACTACAATGGTTTATGCAACCTACGGTATAAGTGGAATAACATTACATGAAGTTTCTGATTATTAAAGTCTGGATATTATTTTTAGCAACAACCTTAAAACTACTGGTGACTGCAAAGTGATAACTTTCAAAGAATTAGCTTTTGTTAGTACGTCTTATTTTTTTCATCCATCTGGACCTAATAATCTGAGATGGCATTTTTGGAAAGTTCAAAAACTGAAATCGAATCTCCTATGTCATTTTCGTTTCAAGCTCGGTGGTAAATTAATTGAACTCCATACCAGAACAAGCAATGTATATGATAAATTCAAAGAGAGAGTGAAGCTCCATAGCACTATAAATCGTGAAGATATGTACAGGTAACTTGGCATCCTATTTTCATTTCTACGGACTGGAAACCAATTCGAACATCCTTCCAAAACGAGGAGTATGAACCTGATTGGTAAATTGAATCCTCAAGGGGAAGCACATTGCTTGGATTAACACGAGTCAATTTATCTACTATCCTTAAAACAAAATACTGAACATCAAGAAGTGTAGTGAACAGTATAAGCAGAGCGCCAATATGAACTGGTATGCACCTTGCATAAGTCTTATGGGAGCTTGAAGGAATTCGCGCCCAAATTATTCCATGAATGCTTTTGAATGTCAAGGAGATAAGTTTAGATTTTCCCCCATTTTCGGGTTAAGGATTAGTGAGGACCTGATATTGAGTATTTCCCATCAACGGTAGCAGTTCTATTCGTGTACTCAATGACTGGTTACAAGAGAGCCAAACTCAGTCAACTAAATAGATTGGTCACTTTGAAAAACAAGATTTCTATACAAAAGCACAATATTTCCGATGCTGCATCCAAATCTATCAGTGATATACACTTTGCGAAGAAGCTGGGAAGCCTACTGGGACAGGCTACATGCACTTCGTATCCAGATCATCAGATAAAATCGATTCTTTGCTCTGTTGATGTGATAAAGAACAACTACCTGCGCAGTGGACGTCTCCGCAAGGAAGCATGTGAAACTTCGGACTCCATAATCAATCCTTATGTACCGAAGGGTCATCAAGCACTCTCCGATCTATCTGGCCTTTTAGAACGTGATGTCTCTATTCACTTACCTTTACTAGAGAAGAAGCATAGACCCTTCACTCTCTGTGAAAACAATGAAACTCACCCAAGTCTTGTAGAATACGATCTTTCAGATGATGATATATAACGATCCATTGTTTTAAACTGAAAAATAGTTTGTCCAAATACAAAGTATTTCTCATTTCCGACTTGTTGAGCTTGTGTGGGATTTAGCTGACTTTGTAACTTTTGCAGATTTTTATCATTTCCACTACAGTCTTCGTATTTGCTGCTTGCCTGTTATTTTATTGGCGAAACAACAATCCTGGTAGTAGAAAGTCACTTCATGGTTTTAATGTCTTAATTACCGGCGGATCAAGCGGAATCGGTCTATCTCTGGCTAAGCTGTTTTACGGAGCTGGTGCTAATGTAACGATCGTCGCGCGAGACCTGAAGAAACTTGAGTCTGCACGGGAAATTATAAAATGTGGAAAAGATAGAAATAACAATGTCTTTATTTTGTCAGTTGATTTGACCTCAGAGTATAGTGTTTTGAATGAAATCTTCAGTAAACATGTGGCTACTCTTGGTAAGATAATGTAGCACCTTTTAAAATTGTCACTTTAGCCTTGTGGACTTTTAGTTCTGATAACGGACTGTACTAGGACGAATATCACGACATTTTATGCTGGTATATAACTCGCTGATTTTCCTTCCCGTTCTTACTTTTAGTTTAGATGGAAACCACCAAACACCCCTAACTCTTTTCTCTACCCATGCTTTCAGTAATAACTAATATCAAATAGCATCTATACGTAGTTTCTGACATACATACCAACATTTAGTCCAATAAGGAAATAATGAGGATCATAATGTGTACTAAAGTTTTGTGGACTCGAGATGACCCAGTTGTTACGTCGACAGTTTGTTAGGTGTGGTCGTCGAATTATATTTTTATGTTATTGTAATAAAAAGGCAGGTTCGTGTAGCGTTAACCATTCATTTGGCTTTTTACTTAAAACGTACAATTGAGACTAAGCTTGTTATACACATTTGGGATGGAAATATATATTTCTTTTATCTAGTCACTTAATTACAACGATATTCTGGTAACTCTGGAGCTCTGAACTTAGTTTAGCTACGTCTGTGTCTATCTCATTTGAGCACAGTAATTAGTAGACTACTAACTATTCGCTTCACAGGATCTTTCACGTACAACTAGACTTATTTAGACCTAGTTTACTAACACATGATTGTCTGTCAGCTTCAACGTAGGACTAGGCATATATGTGCATTGGTCCAAATTGCCATACCTCATTAGCACAACAAAATGAACACCGGTTTCGTAGAAGTAGTTAATTCACTGTTGATAATATATAAGAGAAGGATTGCATATAAGGACATAGTACAGGAAGGAAGAATTAGTTCGTAGAAAAAAGACACGAAGCGATTTTAATCTCATAGTTTAAGGGAAGATAGAGTGTATACATCGACGTCAATGTGATCGATTCTGAGCCATGTCACCCAGAGTCTCCAATCATTGGTTACGATAGTCACGCGGACCCGGACCGAGTACTCTGCATCTGCGAACGTGGCCCAGACCAGAAGCTAGTGACTTCAAGCGCTTATGCTACATGATTGTCCAGAGTTAGTTGTGTAGATTTGTGTAGTGTCATTACTATCCTCAGTATGTTCTACCCAGGGTTGCAAAATTGCTGCTCAAGAGCTTAGTTATAGATTCAGTAATTATTAGGACAAGTGAGAAATCGTTTCAACTCACATGCTTATCAATTATGAGCTTAATGTCTAGTCCTGTTCCTATTTCTGTTTTGGCATTTTCGTTGATGTTTGTTGGGACTTCTGTTGAGATTGTCCGTTGTTTCTTATGTGACATAATTAGCGGTTAAAGAAAAACAATTTGAGTATATCTGTCTTTTAATACTAGGGCAGTAGTATAGAGAAATAATGAAATCACCAAAACTGTGGGTGCGTACCACACTAATGACCTAAATACTCATTGCGAATAAATGCGTCTTGAAAATTTCGCGTTAATTTCTACAAGACCGTAGGATTTGATTTACTATGTAGTACTAAAAGCATTTGTTCTATTGTGTGGAACAAGATTCAGTGAGATGTGCCTTTCTATTTTTGTATTCTACACCAGGCTAGAAGTATACGACACAACTATTTAAGAAATATAAAGTATTTATTCTTTTTTACCGAAAGATTTTTATTGGTTTTACGTTAAGGGGCCTGAAGGTTAATACCTTTTGTAAAGTTATGGAAGGTTAAGTTAGATTGAAGACTACTCTTGATGTTAATACAGTATCAGCCAAGTCTCTTTGTTCATGGGTTAAAGTCTTCGTAAATATTCAGTTGCAACACCCAAGCTAGAACTTTTTTTGAGTACCAGTTAACATCTGTCATCATTCCTTTCAGATTTTATCTGTTTTCAACGTTAGATGAGAGCGGTATTGATTACAATTTTCTAATTATAGAACTAATATCATCCAGGGTGACTTTGTGTTTCTATGTATTACAGGATCTGTTGATATTTTAGTGAATTGTGCTGGCTATGCTGTTGCGCGCAAGTTTTTGGATACTCCTACTGATGATATCCAGGGAATGTTACATTTGAATTACTTATCTGCTGTTCATGTGACAAGAATTTTATTGCCTTACATGTTAGACCAGAAATTTCACCAGACTCATGAACGACGCATTGCCTTCATTTGTAGTCTTGCCAGTCAAGTAGGTGTGTATGGTTATGCAGCGTACACGGGTAGTAAATATGCTTTACGTGGTTTCGCGGAGACATTGGAAATGGAGTTGGGACATAAAGGCCCATTTGTAACAATCGCTTTCCCACCCGATACAGACACTCCGGGATACATTGTAAGTTCAACATTCATTTTTCTGTAAATCAATAATCGTGTCAGTCAGTCACAACGTAGAAACTGTTACGTATGTACATCGTATTATATTACTCAGCCATCATTCGAATAATTATTATAATGAATATAACTAGCATTTTACTGTCGATGCCAGGACTTCTCCCAATCACATCAAGGTTTAGTGAACGTGATGTTGAGTCACTTTAGACTAGTCGCTACTTTGAAACCTGATAGGTAGAGTTCGATCAACACTAAGGACTGTATAACCATGATATTGGTTATTCCTCATTAATCAATCAATGTACTGAGTTTTTGTCAGTCATCAGCTTAGCGGGGATGGTTGGATCCCTAATGACAATGAAGTGAACAACAAGCGCTCAACTACTTCACCTAATGTCGAAGTATTCTCCAGTGTAGACTGATTTTTGAGTAAACGTTTACATTGCGGATAGGCATAGCATTAATTTTGAACATTATTGGGTTGTCAGTCTAGATGTCCAGAGAGTCCATTTTAAGTGAATAGGACTTTTTATGAACTCCGAATCTATAAATGAATTTTCGGGGAAGAAATCTACCTTCATGATCTAAAGAAAAAAACGCATCACCCCTGTGATAATGCTATTACTTATACCTGCAATCTCTTTATTTCAAAAACCAAATGCTTTTTAGAAGCCATTGTCATTTGGTAAGAAAAGCACTGAAGTCTTCGTAGTGGCTGAATAAATTTGAGCATAATGTTTTCTTCGTCAAACATTGCTAATAATAGAAAAGCCCGATTATAGAATTTTTTCTAATATCTATCTTTCGTTAGTAATAATAATTTGATCTAAAATAATCCCCAAGAAGTTTTCCAAGCTTTTAAATGTGTTGATAGAACTTGTAAACTTTTCAGTTTGTATGTGAAAACTTCGTAACGATAAAAATCATTGGTTACTGTGTAACATAAGTTTAAGTGGTAAGCAATTTCAAGTGTTTTTGGAGTTGTAAAAAACTCCGGTTCTAGTTTCTTTAATTTACGCTTTGATATAAGTGGTTTTTTAGTTGTTATATCATACGAGACTATCTCTACTGATTTGGTTATATAAAACTGTTTGATAAAGTTAGTTGTCATTGTCTTGAGACTTCCAAGTTCCAGTCTGTGGTTTTGAAGCATCATCGTTTGAATCTATCATGACATTGTCTATCAAAAATGGACGTTAAAATGGTTTTTATTCTATTACTTGTATATGTATTCTTAAAATGTTCATGTTTCCTTGGAATTGGTTATATGGAAAACACAAGTGTTTGCGCGATTAGGCATTATACAATGGGAAATACTAGTTCATGTTTAGTGTTTATCTTTCTCAGACAGGTATTAAGACTAGTTGAATTTTCTTATCACGTAATACATTTATTTGCTGATTTCCATCTACTGTCCAATGTAATTTACATATAATATCATGATTCTTTGACTGAGATAGTTTGGACATGTATTACATACACACAACTATTTACCTCGATACGCAGTGTTAAATGACGTGAATTAAGTTGGAAGAAAGCTAGGGACAGTAAAACTAGGACGTCTCATCCATGAAGTTATTGACTGTTCATCTAAATCATAGTGTTTGAAGTATGCCTACCTGGCTGGAGTCCGTACGATTATTACGTTCAGTGGTTGGAGATACTGAGTGATATGGTTCAAAATTAATCATAGTGATGGAGCTATATTCTCTGCATGTTCATCTCCAGATTCCGAGTTTCAGTATTCTTGTATAACTTTTATTGCGCGAATCCTGTTTGCTTTTCGAATCATTTTCTTTATGGTTAGTCTCATTTACTGCCACTGATACGTCCATTTTTACTACTTGTTGTTTTGAGAACTTATTTTAAATTAATAATTGAGTATAATAAAACATTTCATTCGAAATTTTAAAAAACAAAATTCATATTTTTTAGCGTGAAAATGTTGGTAAACCAGTTGTAACTAAGGCGATATCTGCTACTGCAGGGCTAGCGTCACCGGATGATGTGGCAAAGTCTGTATATTTGGATATAATGAATGGAAAATTGATTAGTACATGTGGATTAGAAGGAGTATTTCTTTCTTGGATAACTGCTGGGATATTTCCTCCTGTAAGTGTACGATGCCGTTATCTTTCTGATTTTATTCCGGGTATTATATTCGCTTGTGTGGAGATTTTAGCTGCAACACCATTTCGTGCTGTTGGAATTGTTTATGCTTTTTGGATGCGATATATTTCGTTTAAATACAATGAATAACACTTGCTGACGTTTTTTACATGTGAAAACTTTTTGTGATCATACAATGTTATTTCGTTATGAATCGTATACTCAGGTTTCTTTTGTTATAACTGCCCATATTTTTATTGTTTTTATTATAATTTTTATTTACTGTTACACTTATAAACTGAACGAAACTTCGTCACTTCATCAAAAGAACTCGTTTTATTAGAAGAAAATTAACTTGCTACATTGTAGCTTATTGATTGTGAAATTTATTAATTAATGTATATTATATTTCATTTTATAATAAATAAGATATTGTTGTCTAGTTTATGACAAAAATATTTCAGTTATTTCCCTTGTTTTTTTCCCGAATGTTTATTTTATTTCTTATCTGACAGGTTGCCGAATGTTATCCCTACTATTTTCCAGTCATCAGTAAAACTTACTACCCTAAGTGACTGATATTTTTTTCAAATTAATGATTTGTGTCTGCTACTAATTTAAATGTTACTATACATTCTCTGTATCATTGGTTTCCATCAAATATATCTGATGTATTTTAAATTGGAATTCTCCATAAAGTATATTCTTGATAAGTTTCCTTTACATTGCAACCAACTTTGGGGGATGAAATAATCGTAGATTATAAATGGAATAGAGATTAGTTTTCATTCTCTTTTACTTACTTTCTTTTAAGTTAGGGGGGCTATTCAGTAAAAAAATTCGTTAATATATATAATGTATCCCATGGTAACAATGAAAATCACAAACGTAAAAGTAGCTTGGTCATATTTTACAATTACCAAGTTCTCGCCTACCCCACAGTGGAATAGCAATCGGAGTGCAATTAATTTTAAAAATTAAGAGTTGTTGAGTTGGAATATAACACCAGTCCTTGAATTTACTAACTTGATTTAAGTCACGTAGAAAGATGTTGACTTCTCAGACGAGTCACTGGCTGACAGAAATCATTAGTGACATATTTTCGAATGTCACAATAGCGTAAAACCATGCACTATTACCCTCTAAATCCTGATCATTTTTCTACTCTTCAATCATTTCCTCCTTCGGACATGTACTATTCTATTCCACTTTGATATTTTTGTTGAGAAATGCAACAACTTTTGTGCGAGATCGTACCCTGATATGTATATATGGGAAAAAGAAACAACTCAGTCTGTAGACCCTTTTTAAAATTAATGAAAAACTATCAACCTATTATTTTTCTGACGATGATATTGTAAAAATACACGAAAAGTATAGAGAAACTTGTTCGTTCAATTGTAAAGTAAAATTGACCTGTGTCCATCGGGGAATCATTTTAAACTACCGTAATAATGATTCATTTTGTATCGTTTGTTTGAATCTTCACATTGGTGTTTGGGACTGAAATTGATCGGTTTCTTACTGACTTATGTGCATCTTGTGCGGATTGCCTCGATATCACCTTAGGTCACAAGCTTTATGAGCGAAGATGGATGGTGGCTAGCAGTGGAATCCAGGACGTGTGTTTCGTTCTATCTGGGACTCGTCATCTGGATTCAGTAGCTAGGTGGATGGCGTTTGAAGCAAACGGTGCTAAGTTCGAGCCCCGAAGTAAACACCAACTCTGGAATGCAGGTACATCCATCTGACGAGTCTCGAATAGGACGAAACACGCGTCTTAGATTCCACTGTTAGCCATCCTTCATCTTTGCTCATAATGCAATCATGTTTGGATACATTAGTTAATAATATTTTTAGGAGCAATATTTTTGACAAATTGGTAACCTTACTTTAGAAATGAAAGGTTAATTATTTACCATAATTTTACTAATTTTATTTGCAGTGCTTCCAAGCTATTTTTCGACCTTTTAGTATGACATCTTGAGTTAATTTATTATGGCTTAAATCACATTTAGTCAAGTTTGTTAAACTTGCAGTTTGCTGAATTTTGAATAATAACGTAGTTTAATATTCGATAACAGATGAACTACTTGTAACACAATTCACAGTACACCTATTTAATTTTTTTTTCATACTCAAGCTCTTAATATTTTAGAGGGTTGAATCTTTCCGATTTATTATTTCACTTCTTGCGTGACTTATTGTACAGGAGCTCCTTTAACTTTTATGATCAAAATGCTCTTCTGCTAATATAACACACAACGTTTTTTTGTCAATGGAATTAAATTTGTTAGGAATTTTAGATAGATCAGTCTGTGGTTTATGAAAGGTAAAATTTTCTACTGTCCAGTTACTGATGTACTGTTTATAATACTCTGTTTGGTAAGTATCCTCATAGTTAATCAAATAGAATAAGAAGATTGCACAAAATTAGTCACCATTCTTCATCTTGCATACTGCAGTGTTCGATTTGTAATCACACTAAAGTTTTATGAATATGTCAGTCAGTCAGTAACAACGTAGAAATTCGTACGTATGTACATCAGTTCGAGTTTCCATACCACATTTTCACAGAGATGCAGTTGTCGATTCGAATCCCATAGTGGTAGAGTTAGGAAGAATATAAGCAATAATCCTACCGCTACATTATAAAACATCGCACGTCGGTGGCTGAGCATACGTAACACTTCCCAGCCATCTCTATGAATATGTGGTCATTTTCTTGTTACCTAGACCTAGTACTTATGTATATAAGAGTGATAATACCGAGGTCACTCAATGATCTAAAGGCCAAGCACTTGCTGTGATGCCCTACGGTCCTGTGTTCAAACTCTACGCGGTTGTGGACACATTGCTAAGAGGTCCTATATAAGGACAAAACAACTTTCCAGTGCTGCTTGGTTCCCTCTAGTTGTTTCACTTAAGTCAGTTTGTGATGTACAGCTGTGAATCCTAATACTGAAAGGCATATTTTGTATTCTCACAACTAAGTTCATAGTTTAAGTTTCATCACCTGTAAATTATTTATTTTCTATGTTGTTTGGATAGTTACATATCCAGGCGTTGGAAGTGATCTATCGGGATCTGACTTACTCTCTGAAACTATTCAAATAAAGAAAATACTTGTATTCTTTCAATATCATTTTTATACTCTTCGAATTGCAAACTACAACCTCATCAAGGTTAAATCTTTTTTAAATTTTCTCAAACATTCGTGATTGTTTAATTTCTTTTCTCTCAATTTATATTAAAGTGCGTGTTATACATAATCAAAACAAGCATAAAGTTTCATGAAATATCAGTGGAATTTATTTTTCCTCTAACAGTAATTGGAGAAGAAAACGATAAAATATATGAATAAAATAATGAAGACTTCAATTGTTTGCTAAAAGAATTTTATTTAATTCTATACTTTTAATCTTATTCATTGTATCCTTTTTTAAAAAATGAAATGTAACTCATGATGTATAAGATTTTGTTGATTTTATTCTTTGATTGCCTCTTAATAAGATTCAATATTTCCTTCTGAAACGTTTTTTCAAAGTGATAAACATTTCTGAATCAGCTGAATTCTAAAATCTTACACTATTATGTTTGACAACTGTGAATTGTGCTTAGCAACTCCTTCTATATTTCATATTACCACTAGTGAAGAAATTTTGAAGAAATTCATTTCATAAATTTATATTTTTCTAGATTTATTCAATTAAATCTCTGTCATTATCTGTTCAAAAAATTACAGGCCAGACTATCGTATAATTTATTTATTTGAAATACTTGACATAATACTTATTGTATTCAATGGCTATAATTTTCATTTTACAGACTATGAAATCAATCTTCTTTCAATGAATGGTAGAATTCGATCGATATTAGATGTTTGAAACATTTATTGACGATCCATTAGTTCAGTTTAAAGGTTATTACTAGTTGCTTCAATGTTAAAAGATGTTGGGTCAGTCATGAGATCAGACTGTATTCCAAACGTTGTGACAGCTCTAAAATGTTGTACGAACTCTTTCTTGACCTCTAAAACTCGATGATTATAGAACTGGAATGTCTTACTAAAGAAAATTTAACCCGGGCAAAGAGGATCAGTTTAATGCACTATACATTAATTTTTAAGATCATAATATAAAGTGTCAAGTCGCCTTAAATTGATTTCGAATAATCTCACTTTCTCCATAAATGTTATCTCATTGATAAATTAACCTGCATCAAGAACAACAAAAGTAGCAGAATAACATTTTGTCGTCCTTCTGCAGTTGCTTATAACCTAAAAACGATTATTATTCATTATTTATTGATATTGAATTATTTAGTTCAATAGTTACATCACAAAAACGTGATCGATGCATTTAATCAATCGCTGAGGAATGTACTACGTGGCGAATTTTATACTCTATTCGCTTATTTGTATTCACATTATGACTCAATAGACTTCTAGATAACAAGTCGTACAGTTTCAACTGAATTAGTGGATACTACTAATTCAAATATTCGGAAGTCCATCAGTTTCTCTGAGGTCGTACATACGTTTAGTAGGTAAGTACTGATATCATAGTCATCAGGGGCTTGTTATCGATTTCCACAATTCGTCAAAAATGATTTATAGCAGTAAATGTTGTGCTTCTTAGACCACTTAGGCTAATTCATGATTTTTACTAATGATTCTTAAAGAACTGATGTTTTCAAACTAAACACTGTTTAAACTTGTCAGAAGCAATTAATAAACTCACTCGATAATTCTGACACCAGTATTCATACAAATAGATTTTTTCAAGTAACAGAAAGTTAACTGTTGATTGCTATTTTAAAATATCCGGGATATGTGCCTTGTAAGTATCAAACATACCTGTTATACATTTGCTTTACAACATTTATGTTCTTAGTACGAAAGCAATGAATAAGTGATATTTATGCATGAGTTATTTGATTAATTTACCGAGAGTCTGTACTTCTTATCATTCGTAATATTTCACTTTAGAAGTAAGATTGCTACAAAGAAACGAAAAAGCTGAAGACTATGTACCTAACACCGCTTATATTAAAAACTATTAAATAGCCATCCTTTTTCAATATCTGCTCTTCTGAAAATCATATCACAATAGCTCCATAAAGGTTTCTTTACTGGTCTACGAATAGCAGCGATTACATTAATGTTAGTGATGATATCTAGCCATCTCAAACATGGTAAAAGAAGTTGCATTTGATGCAGTATCCTTTTGATTAAGAACTGAGTCAGTTAACTTTTGAGTTATTGGTTGTCAAAATGTACATCTATTATTTCTATGTCACTAACCATCTATTTTACAAAAACTGGTAAACTCATTTTTGTATTTTTATGCTTTAAATAAATAAATAAATAACCAAGTGGAAAATCCTTTTTAATCATCGTTTTTTATCAAACTTCTTGTTCTTGATTTAATACCTAGACAGAATATTTAGTATCACCCTTAGTTATATAAGTAGTATAGTGCGGTTTATCATAATAATTTATCTAATTCATTTCCAAGTAGTAATTTATTCAAGTTTAACACAGTTAGTATGAATTTTTATGATTCTCGATTTC